ACTTGCACAATTTGCATTTAACATGTTCCCATACTAAGACATATTATCAATGGCAGGTTTTGTTAGAGTTGGATTTCTCTAGAAGCGTGACCATATACACCCACTTGGCGATTACTTAACTAGTTGAGAAAATTAAAATCTAGACCGTTAGATTGTTGACAATTTTGATGGATGGATACGTGGAAGGCAATTTCGCAATATAGAATATGGCTATGACATATACCCGATAAAATCTTATAGCACGTAGATAAACCTCTATTTATCGCTCAAAGTTATGTTCATTATATGTACCTCCCATCTCTTTCCGTTAAACATTAAAGTAGTCGCACTTACCATTGATCGTAAAGATTTCCGACAACAATTAAATTCATTCATCTAGTAAACCATTATTAGATGTCTTTGTGCGAGTGAAAAACAGGATTTGAGCAAGCAAAGAAAAAGATGCAAAAATTTATCTTTGTAGTCAACTAGTAGGTAACCATCAGCATTGCACGTGGAAATTATGTTTTTATAGTTAATGACTTTTTATTCAATATAAATTAAAAACACATAATTTAATTGAATAGTAATATGAGAAGTTGCAAATCTTATATAAAGGGATATACCTTTTCACCAATAGATATCGCTCTTAACAAGAACTATGTTAATTAAGTTTGAAACTTTAGCTTATAACAACATAGAACAATATATAGGCCTAAAAGTAATAAATTGATTTCAACCATTGTATCCCATGGTTATTGCATATATATCAGATAAATGTAAATTTTATAGAAGACTGGAAACGGCTAGAACTTTTTTTATTTAAATGCTTAGAAACTTATCCTTATTTCAAGCTCATAATAAATTTTTTATTTGAGCAATGTCAAATTAAACTAAATACTCTTTCACCCGTAATATGAATTGTCTTGACACATCCCTATTATATGTAACTGATGCTGTATTCTCATAGTTATTCTGTCTATATTATAGAGTAATGAAATAATAATTGAGTTGTTTTTATTTTTCAAGCAGAATAGTATATTATTGAAACACCTGATAATGCAATTAGATTTTTCAAATTGCATTTATCATATCAGTAAAATATTGATGACAATTTTTTTTGGCTAAAGGAATGGAACACTTCTTTTTTTGCTATTTTGATAGCATAAAATTGAAAATTACCCAATCAATTATAAACCTATTGTATGATTGTCAATTTAATCCTAAACTTTTAAATTTTATTGATGTAGTCCAAAACCTTTGCAAACTTTAATTTAACCCTTTTGGCTGATTTTGTCTTGAAAATGCTAATGGAGATGTCCAATCGTCGTCGACAGTTCTGCATGATATGACGGGCATCTGACATGAACAAATTTATGCAATACGATGTCATTTTGCTTATTTTACTTTCATTCAACTAATGGCTCTAAACGTGTTTGGTGCGAACTCAAAGGATTGTAATGATTTACTTATATTTTCTTATATGAGGTTGAATTTGAAGGACCAAAATAACTATTGAACAGCCAATGGTTTGGAATCCAAATGGTAAACCACACGAATGGCCACCGATGTTTGTCCAATTTACAAACTTGATACAAAACGTATAATAAAAGTTCATATTTAAGCAACTGAAGTATAACGTACATTACGACCACAACAATCATTGCAAATTTTGATTAGTTGTCGAATTAAGAGAAGATTTACAGCATTTGAATTAGGATATTATTTGGTTAAAATAATTTCCTTAAAAGCATCGTCGTGTTATGAGACTCGTTAGGTAGAGTGACTCTAAATATTTGAGGCCTTCACTAGGAGATATCTCTTCGCGCAAGTACGAGGGAGGGCATATGTATAAGCTAAAATACAGAGCAACAAATATGTGTCATAAGGGAAAAAGAAGAAGGGTAATGAATCCATGTAGTTATATATATAGCACAAGTCCTTTTTGCATAATATCGAGGAAAGTTCTCACACGCACACCATACAAAATGACCGGCTATCAAACAATATTACATCAGATACATTAAACGTGGAACCTATCCACCATTTAACTTGCTCCCATGTTCTCTTCCTCTATGATTTTCTCAGCAATAGCAACAACAGCAGCAGCAGCAGCAGTTCGCTTTCGCAAGACACAGAATATCATGCAGACAACATGGAAACCTAAGTAAACCTAACCCACCAGAGGGTATGGCTTGGGGATATCTTCCCAATTCTTGGCTTCGTATGCGTTGGGCCATGGAGGATGGGATGGCTGATATAGCGAGACTACATTGGACAGGATTCGGCTCTAGGCTATTATCCGACAACATAGTAGCGCTTTGAATTGACGGAGACTTCACGAGTCATCCTCCCTTTCCCTACCCTCTATGTGCCTTGTTCTGTTCAGAAAAAATATATCCAGGATATCATCATCATCATTTTTGAGAGAGAGAGAGAGAGAGAGAGAGAGAGAGAGAGAGAGAGAGAGAGAGATTACCATGGTCGAAGCACTTTTTTGGTGAATCACTGATCCGATACTTGATCACATGCAAGGTTGGAGTACGTGAGAGATGATCATTGGATGCATGTCGAAAGAGGTTTTCAAAAATGGGAGAGAGATATGGTGCTAGATTCTTTGTTTCGTAGGCATCATAAGGGTCTTGCTCTGAAGCACTTTAAGGACTAGAAGAAAGGAAAAGAAGTTCAATTGGCTAAGGCGTGGAGCACCAAAAGATGAAGGGCTGTATAAATAGGTAAATATTTAGTCAAGCTCATTATTGGTGTGGATACACTTGCACAATATGCATTTAACACATTACCATACTAAGACATATTATCAATGCCAAGATATGTTAGAGTTGGTTTTCTCTAGGAGCGTAACCATATACACACCCCTCAGAGATTACTTAACTATTGAGAAAATTAAAATCTAAACCGCTAGATCGTCGATGATTTTGATGGACGGATACGTGGACGGCAATATTACGATATAGAACACCGCTATTACCCATATACTATAAAACCTCATAGAAAGTAGATGTATCTCTTTTTTTATTTTTTTTATTTGGTATGAAAACAGGCTAAAGCCGAATACAAAAAATTAACATGGTAAATCTATTATCCCTATTTTATCACCTAATAAAACATGATAAATATCAAACAGATAAATCTCCATTTATAGCTTAAAGTTATAGTTTGTTATATCGGGTTCACATCTCTTTCCAATTATACCATTGATCAAAAAGATTTCCGACAACAATTAAACTCATTCATCTAGCATTCTACTATTTGATATGTCTCAGTATGAGAGAACAAACATAATTTGGGCGCAAAGAAAATAGCTGAGAAACAAATCTATAACTAGTAGGTAACTTCGAGTGCTGCACGTGGAAATTATGTTTTTCATATATAGTGATTTTTTATTCAATATAAATTAGAAACACAAAATTTAAGTGAGTAGTAATATGAGAAGTTGCAACTCTTATGTGAATGAACATACTGTTTCACTAGTAGATATTGCTCTAAACAAGACGATCAACTATATTAAATAACTTTGAAAAAACAGCTTATAACAACCAAAGAACAATATAGAACTAAAAGTAGTAAATTGATCTCAAATATTGTTTCTCATGGTTATTGCATATATATGAAAGATAAATGTAAATTTTAAAGAAGATTGGAAACGCCTAGAACTTCTTTAATTTCAAGGTTTAGAAACTAATCCTCATTTTTTACTTATATTAAGTTTTTATTTGAGCATATATAATAGGTATTCTTTTGACACATTCCTATGATATGTCTATGTACTCTTCATTAATGAAAAAAAATTCTACATGAAAACTTATGTTGTACGTACAACAAGTTTATGACTTTTTGGACAATTTTTCCTTTTTAAATCTATGTATATTATAGAGTAATGAAATACTGTATTATAATATCAAATCACATAATAAGGTAATTATATTATTTAAATCACATTTATCATTTAGTAAATATTGAATTCAACAAAAAAAAATTTCTATTTTGATCACATAAACGGGAAAAGTATCCAATCAATCCTAAAGCTATTGTACGACTACCAGTTTAGTTCTAAACTTTCAAATTTTGCCAATGTACTCCTAAACGTTTGCACAAAATTTCAATATGGTTCTTCTAGCCAATTTTAGCCTAAAATGCTAACATACACGTACAATCATTGATGGCAATCCTATAGGGCACGGCAAGGTCTGACATGATGGCGTTCGCTAGCTAATCTACCGCATTGATGTTGTTGTTGGCAGTTTACATTTCTTATCATAGTTAACTCTGGAATATTGCAATGAGCCCATTTTCTATTTAAGATGTAGACCGTACAATAATTATGAATTTATTGACAGAAAGTGTATTCATTTGTACATTTGTAATTTCTTTTGCAATAAATCATGAGAAATTCTTACCATCTCCATTCATGCATTTTTAGGTTTATTTACATCGATATGCCGTTCATACCAAATAATGACTATTATAAAATATGAAAATATTTAGTTTTATTACTGCGATTCACCAAACAATTGATAAGATATAACAAAATTCTAATATTTTATATCTTATCCAATCCAATCCTATCATGATTAGAAATTCAAATAACCAAATACATTATTGGATAAATTTTGAAGTTCAAAAGATTACTGTGAAAATACCAAGGGAATTTTTATTACAACATGATTTCTTCCCACAAAATGTATCTTGACCCCAATTCATGATATTTGCTCCTTTATGCGTCATCCAAATATTTCGTGCCGTTTTTAAGTCGGAAGTACATCTTGTTGGCTCTAATGAAGCTTGCTTTGCTACAGAACCATTAAATTTAATAGCACACGATTCAGCTGCAGAATTAGACGCACTTCTATGATCTAACATAAGTTATTATGCACTTGAAGAATAGTTCTTTCGCATGTACCTCCATCGTATTCCAATACAAGCAAAACTCGCACAAAAATTGCAAAAGAACAAGATATCATGCTCATTTGACCGGGATTTTGCGTCAACAAAACCACAAATCACCAGAGAGTTGCTGCATTAAATGCAACATGTGGATCTATACAAGTATTCTTTACACTTGGTTAATCTTCTTAGCATCCAAGTGAACATCAACATGACAAAGACAGAAGAAAATGTAGCGACTCCAACACAAAATCGTGAAGCCATATTTGGACCGCGGAATGTTGCCAATTCACTATGTGATATGCAACATTAGAGATGCTTACAAGCATGAAGAGAAGAGCCCGTAATGTAGCACCAAGGGCATTTCCTCTCGGCACATGGAGCACTTGAACACTTGGCTTATGATTCAGCAAACTATCAATGAGCTAATATGAACAGCGATTAGACATTCAACGGAGACAGAAGCTACAAACTAGCATTTAGCATCTCCTATTGCCATTGTGAAGTACTCTGTGCAGATGGAAAGCTTCGCCTTGATCTCCATTCAACGACCTCCTCTCCAAGCAACAAGCAGTCAGCTGCCTCAGTAACCTCTCCAGATAGGAGTGCAGGCAACCCTGATAATTTTTTGCGCTGGGATTTGTCGCCAAGATCATTGCATTCACCGTGTCAGCTACCACCTCACGCTGTGACTCCTCAAGTAGATACCCAACAAAGGACTCCTTTGGATGTTCATATGCCAATAAAGATACACAATCCTAGAGAAGAGAGGGAGTAATTACATTTTCATCATCAAAGACATTGTATTTGAAAAGAAAACCGGTTCATTTTCTTCAATCTCCAGAAGATACGAGGAGAAAAGACGAGTATGGCTAATTGAATGGAGTACCATAAAAGTTCCATTAATAATGAAGCCATCAATGCAAAGTTATATTATTGGGTAAAAGGATGACTACTGGAAACTGAGGAAGAAGACTGCCAATCATTCTCCCTTTATTTGCTAAGGTCATGTTGTTCATACATTTTGCTCTCATGCTCCCATACTTTAAAAAGTAAGGAGGAAAAAGAAAAAGTAGAGAGTACCACTGCATCCATCCCTCCCTCCATCCAAAGCACCAACAATTGGCAGCTTCCATACTTCCATTCATTGTTTCATTATTTTTTCCAGTTCATCACTTCAAGACTTTACATTAACATGGCCCAAACAGAACTGGCAAAATAGAAGTTCATTAAATAAGGGTGTAACATGAGTGCTGAGGTCGCGGTGCATATCAACTAAAAATTTTGGGAAACAATGTTGAAGCTTAAATTACCCTATCGCACATATTTCCCTGTTCAGGACAACCTGCTATCCCACAAATGAGTAGACTTGGTTATGTTGCTGAGGCCTTTAAAAGAGTTCTCGGAAGCTAGTGCAGAAAAACTAAAACAGGAAATAACATCATACCATACAAAGTGTTTACTACCTCTACTAGATCCTCGAAGCCAGCCGTCTCAAAAAACCTTGGCAACTCAACTCTTCCATATTTGATAGCCTCCTCCAGGGCTCCAACCTGGATGATGATGCATACCATCATGCAAAAAGGGTATCAGAAGAACCACATGATATATTAAAAAGGTCATGAAAAAGAAACACATGCGATTAGACATGAATCAATACCACACAAACATAAGACCACCTGAAGAACCTTATGACAAAACCCAGAATCAACATGATACGACAAACTTTGGAATGCCAATTCATGCTCACAGCTTCAATCATATTGTGCCAAAGACAATATAGGTCAATATGAAACCAACCAACTCAATCAATAAATATCTCTAATCTTAAGCTAACCACCTCTAGCTCCTAAAATAGGCAACAAGACAATCCCATTCACCTGCTCAACAAGTGGACAAAGATGAATCACCATAACTCAGATCTGACCCCTCTAACATGAAAACCTTTTATGAGACAATATTTCAGTAGAACGACTCTTCATGAATAAAGTGTTCAATAGAGTATTTACATGTTTTCTAGTAACTTAAAGATTCGCCATTAACATACGTATTAGCATATTGGAACAAAGTGCAAGGCCTTTGCAGATAATTTTAAGAGTTAATACCACAAAAAACCCCCCAAACTGGTACATCTGTGACAAAGTTACCAAAAACTAATTTTTTGACACCTAAAACCCCAAATTGATACATCTGTAATAAATTTACCCTCCGTTAGTTTCTATTAAATTTTTCCGTCAAATTGTTAAGTTGGATGACACGTGGCAGTTGATGGGTGTGCCAATTTAGGGTTTTACCCCTCTATTTGTCACGGACTTACCAGTTTGTGGTTTTTCGTGCTATTAATCCAATTTAACAGAGAATAAATTTGTCATAAGTGTACCAGTTTGGAGTTTTTGTTGGTCAAAAAATTAGTTTGGGGTAAATTTGTCACAGGTGTACCAATTTGCAGTTTTTCGTAATATTAATCCTAATTTTAATAATATTTCATTAAACAATGTCAATTCTTAATTCGATAAAAATATAATCTACAATCAAATGCAACAAAACAATTCATTAAACTGGTCAAGATTTAGTAAAATTCATTTAAAGTAGAAAAAAGGCCAAAATAAGTATTAATCAACAACTAGTCTAGTTGAATGTATTACACAGTTCACCTTCAAATTTATACAGGTTGAACCCCCTGCACAACTCCTTTCTTAATGGCATGACTTGAGTAGACATGATTCTAACATGAACATACATGTAAAAGGAACGAACTCTTTGTTTTATAATCTTGCTCACGTTGTCCTCATGTTTGACCCAAACTTACAATGGTTAGGATTAATTAAATCTTTATAATATTGAAGAAAACTATGACACACAAGTTTATTTTTTTTAAGACCGATAAATTCACATGTTGCCAGTTGTGAATACACATTCACTACTCAACTCGTGGTTCATTTAAGCCTTAATCACCAAACAATATCTGCAACTGTATTACCAGAATTCATTTAAGAACTAGAACAAGACTAGGAAAAAGAACGTGCACGAGAAATTTCACTTCCAGTATTCAAAGCATATATCACATTACCTGCACCGTGGAGAAACATCAGTTCAGTCCACAGTGCCACTACAAAACCATTTAAAGGATAGTCTCAAGTACCAAAAGTTGATGACGATTGGACAAAAAAGCAATATATTCATCCAACCGTTTTTTCTTCCTACCATTCTAAGACAGCAATCTAAATACACTAGACTTAATTGCAAGCAAATCAAAATATAAGATGAAGTTACCCGAACTAGTTCAATGAACTTTTGGCAATGGAGGAGAAAGCAAGTAGCTGATTTTTCATCCTGCAGTAAAATATAATCAAGACTAAGACATCATGCACTAAACTAGAGTAATCTTCCGTCATATAATTGACCCACTTATACAAGTCGAATATTAAGGGAACAAATATAGCACAAGAGAGATGACACTACCACGTGCAAAATTGGAAAATTATTAATTCAGGACCAGAACACATCTCATAGACACCTTTTGTAGAGCTGACGATACAAAATCTGGAACTGAGTACACTAAGAAGGAAATAAAATAGCCTCAAACAGCCTAAAAGGATAAAAGAGTATGTTTGCTAGGCAAAACTGCCAAAGCTCAGACAATATTTAGCAAATATTTGGGAATCCTGAACTTCTAGAGAAAGCAAATGAACAGGAAGTGCCCTCATTAAGACATTTCTTGACTGACTCAATGCAATTGATCCAGGCTTTACAATTGCAGCATATTTAGATGTGAACAAGGTTCATGCCTTGAGTTGGCTTGCAATAACACTCGAAATGACTTTGTTCATATGTAAAGACAACGTCGTGATGAGCATTCAATACCTGAACAACTTGTGGATACCAGTTGCGGAGTTTACTGAATGCTGCGTCAATTTCCCCATTTTGAATCAGCTTCATCAACAAATAAATCAGGTCATTTGGCTTGAATAAGATTCATGAGACATGCGTCATGCTGCAGGACAAAAATCTCAAAATAATGTTCTATTTCTAGAGCAAGTTAACGAAATTCCAAAAATTTTCAAGTAAAATCTCAGCTCATAAACTTCAATTCAGTGTGCCAAAACGAGCTTCAATTATGTAAACCCTTGTGCTGCAGCTACAAACCTACTAACTTGAGAACAATTTGATTCAAGAATTTCTTTGGGAGTGTAGAAAGATTTCCCTAAAACAAAAGAAGATATTTATATGAAATTTAAAGATACAGATTAAAGTATTGGAGCTCTGACTCAAAAATCAACTAATATGTCTGGAATGACAAGTTGCACTCTCAGGAGTCTCACCCAGGAAAAGCATAAATTCTCAACTTGTAACTATTGTGCTCTCTCTCTGCTGGCCCTACACTAATGCATCATGCACACAACGTATTCATATCATAATCGCAAAAGTGAGGGCAAGCAGACACGTCAAATTGTACCAACTCACCTACAGGAGCAATATAGAGCTGTGCATTAGAGGAAGAACTCAACAAGATACTACCTGACAGAGTGAGAGAGAGAAAGAAGAAAGAAAAAGAAAAAACCTCAACCTACCGCAAAAGTGAGGGAAAGCATGCTCTACCTATGCTAAGCTATTGGAGAGCATATTAGAGCTGCACCCCCTAGTAATAATTCACTGATACAGAACTAAAGATGCTCGCAGAACCCAAAATAAATAAACAAACCAATATAAATATAAGATTATTTTCAAACCTGACGAAGAGTCTTCCTCTGGTTTAAAGCATAGAGAATCTCCTGTTCATCAAAGCCGTTTTCTTGATCTAAAGAAATTGGAGGAATAGTGCTTTTACTAGCCATGTCGAATGAACTTAGTGTATCTTCATATCCGTAATGTAGCAAGTATGACCGAACAATCCTGATAATCCAAATGGTGAACTTTATGTAACGTTAGAAGATAAGATGATCTGATAGGACCACGAGGTAAAAAAAGAACATTTATTGTTTCCTCTTTCTTTTTCTCACAGGGGAACATTTGTGTGACTGAATGTGGGCTCTGTTTGGCAGCATAAAGGATGCATGCAAGTCTAAAAAGCATGGAGTATGCAAAAACAACCCGTTTAGATCACAAAAGTGGAAAGCTATCCATAACGATACTACAGATATATGTATCTACAACCAACTATCCAATATATTCCATAAGAGGCCGAATACCAATTGATAAGTAAAGGCCCCGACATAGAATCCGTTTTCACTCTTTCCATAAGAAGCATCTAATCCTTTATACAAAAAGAGGAAATGTAGTTTATTTCAGTTAGCATAACATGAACATTTTACAAACCCAGAACAACAGTCATCATGAAGCAACCAGCAGAACAAGCGGTCAGTCCATTCGTTTGCAAGAATTACAGATCAGCCTTAATTCAACAGCGTAGTTAATGGCTGTAATGCAACTGGTTATTCCATAGACCAACTATTCAAACACCATTCTTTCACGTAGCAAATAACATAAGTGCATGAACACGCATATAGTATTGTTTTCTCAAGAAGAAATTGAAACCAACATAGACTCACCCATAGCTGATGTTTGGTGGCAAAGATATTTTTTCTACCGTTGCTTGTTGCCTCATTCTTTCTTGAGCTTCATATGCCTATAGTTGTAATAGAAGCAGCAGTGAAAAGACGATCAAGAAAAAAGTAATCTTAGCAAGGAAGATCATCAGTTGACATTGCACTAACTTGAACATTCTTTCCAAAAAAACATCATGCTTAAAGTAGTTCTTATGATAATTACATTATTGAAGTATTTTGACTTATTTTACACGAAATCACAGAATATAAATCTAATCATGTTATGTAATCCTTTCTAATAAGCACGAAGTTAAATCTATTATCAGGAAAAGCAGCCTTTAAATAAAAGTTTAGGCAAAAATGGTGTTGATATCGTATCATATGAACTGTCCAAGCCAGTAATCCTTAGAATAACAAGAACACAGGACTTAGTAATCCCAGTTTAACAGGACATGATTTTTCAAAGATAATTCTAAGCAAAAGAGACTACTAGGTATGTTATGTTTTACAATCACCAAGCAAAGTAAGGAGCAATGCCAATTATCAATAGGACAATATATAGAAAGATCAATACGATCCAAGAAGAAGCATACGTGCCTTGATATCAAAGGCAAATGGTTTTTGCCCAAAATTAACATTGATCCTGCCCAACAAACAACACAGGACTTAGCAATCAAAGGAAATCAACCTGCTCCAATAGATATTCACAAGGAAACAAGATGAACCAACTCACACTAGAGCTACATAGGGAGAGAGAAAGAGAGAGAGACAAAGAGCATGTAATCAAATAAAATGCTATAACAAACAGAGAAATAGTTTCACGACACAATTTTCTTAAAGCACCAGAAATGTAAAATTTCAACATTCATCATTAATGTCGTGTCATGAAACTCTAAAGTGAATATTCCAACAGTACGGACTTGCTTTTCTTTCTTAAATTGTTGTCAAATGTTAGGACGAGATATATGCACTGCCACTCCTCCCAGAGGTTCAGATGCTACAAGTCTTCACATGTAGGAGTTCAAACTCAGCAAGAATCAGAGCAGAACCACTAGAAGAATATGTCAAACATAGAAAATAATAGTATTACTTTCCTATTATATGGCAGTAAGAATATCGATTTTTTACAGCAACTATAATACACAATTCATAGTATTAGAGATGCAACTCACATAATATAAGAGGTGCCCCTTCCATGACTTAAGGCATAACAACGGTTATGAAGGCAATTTTGATAATCACACTTGATTGGAGAGAAATAAAGTAAGGATAAGTTTAACATACTCTTCATTTTGGCTATGAACAGAAACTGTGGGGAATAAGGGACCTTTCATGTCCTTGTAGACTGTTCCCACTACTGCCTTGTTTTTTCTGTTAAAAGGAAACACAAATGAGAAAAGAAGAATACATACTCCAGTTGAAAGGAGAGTAAATGACATATTCAAAGTAATATTTGACAGATACAAGAAGTGTATTAGTGCTGAAATGAGGTTTCTTTTCCTTCTTTTTCTGATTTTTTTTTTTAAGGTTAAGCAAACTTCTATAATAAAGGTACCGAGGGGGTACATCCCCTATACAAAATGACTTCAGAGGGGAAGTTTCACATAAAACTTTTTTTTTCTTTTTCCTTCATTTTTATAATCAGAATATTAGACAACAACTAATCTTTTATTTCTTTCTTTATTTATTTTTTTGGGTAGGTTACAGGATCAACTATAGGGCACCAAGGGGTGCGAAGCCACATAAAAAGGGAGCTCATAAAACCAGACCCAGATACAACATCAAATCAGTGACAACAAATCGATTGCTTTGGTTTGATCATAAGAACACTGAACAAAATCATGACTTCTTACGTGAAAAAGAACTCCTGTGTAGCATAGTTAATGCCCGCACCAACTATGTCACCAGAAGTATAAGTTGGTCCGAAAGCTTCTCCCTTTCCTTGTCCACGATAAAGAAACCCATCATCACCATGATAACCACAACTGTTGGGTTCCCACCTGATACATGGAAGCAGGAGAAAGAATCACAAGCGACTTAGAGCCCAAAGCCAATTCAGGAGGAGAACTTCTCTTTGTCATTTAAAGAAAAGCAGATCGGGTATCTAAGTAAATTATCATCATCCATGTTAAGTTGCACTAGAACGTAATAACAAAGTATATCATCTTATAAAATTATGGAGGGGAAAAAAAACCAAGAGACAATTGCGACCTCCACTTGTAAGCTGAAAACAGATTTAAGAAAACCTAGTTCTCCAAAGCTTTCATTCCTCTCTTTTTCTTCTTTCCAATAGGTAACATAACAGGGGAAATGTAAATTTATAGACAAAATCTTAGATCTTGGTAAGGTTGGACTACCGCTCAGTCAACTCCTACTTGATTCCAACCGCACATCACATACTTGTCACAGAACATTTACATCAGTGACTGCACATTCCCAATTCTAGAGCAGATAAACATCCAATTCGCAATTCAGAGAAGACAAAAATCTCTAAATTCCTACTTTTTTCTTTAACGAGTAAAACTGGACTTGTATATACTCTTCCACAATCTAAACATTTTGTTCCAAAAACCATGGGTGTGAGACTTTGTTCATTTTGACTGACAAATATGTCTTGACAATATTTGTTCAAATGTAAGCATTTTCCGCATTCAATGAAATAGGGGAAAGAAGAACTCCTTAATGTATTAATTTCCAAAATATAGAATACTTAACTGAAAAAACCTAAACTTCTAAACCTAAATAGGATTTTTTGTCATTTTGATCTGAATTTTCAGAACTTAAAAACTGAGTTTTAACACTTGTCACTATACTTATAATTCTGGTATGTTATGTATTTAGTAAACCAATGCAAAACACGGTAAAGTCGTGGCTTTGGCATGGGGTGCCATGGTTCATTTCAAAACTTGAGCTGAGGCATGGCCTTAATAATATGAGCTAGGGCAGGCCCTTCTTTTGCCTGGGTCTGGTCATCATTCCTATCCCCTCCACCTGCTCCCCACACCCGAAAAATAAAATATAATAAGATGATAGAGGAGAATGACATCGCAGCCAAGTCCTTAAACATCTTTTGATACAATAGCCACAATGGGCCCTTAGCGAATAAAAAATCAGTTACAAGATATGTCTTCACACTAAAGACATAATCTACAAAATAATCACAAGTCCTCAGGCATTTTACAAGATCAATTTAACCTTAATGCAGAACTCAGAATGCTCTACCACACTGAAACTGCTAGCGCCTAGCCACAAATACCGCAACACTAAATCCCAGAACCTCAGAACAATTGCAGTTATTTCAGCAAAACTGTACAATTCTTTGGGATGTGGCAGTATCGCCAAGTAAATTTTAGGTACGTTACATCTCTTCCTACCATTGCTCATATTTTTCTGCTTAACTCTTGCTTCATGCTTTTCCAGTCAAATTCATCATCTGACTGAAGCATCCATCTGTTATCATATTGTCTAAACCATCTTACAAGCATCTAGCTCAGTTACAGCATCAGCAGCCTTTGCTAGCTTTCTATGGCTGCTTAGACATACTTTCTGATCACCTTATCTCTATGTCTAAACCATTCACCAATCACATTCTAGCATTCTCGTTTCGGCATTACCTGTATCCCATTTTCCAACACGTAAGGTCCTACATGCTGTTCCCCATGGCCTAGTTGATCAAAGCATGACAATACATGATTAATCTGTAAGTTTTCCAGATTCAATTGGTTTGCAAAAACAGTTTTCAGAAATTCATTAGATTGCAATAATGGGCACTCCCAGCCTTGACCCCCAAAAGCTTCAGATCCATTAAAGCTTCAGCATCCTCTCCTTATAACAACAGCAACAGTTCTTGAGTCACTTAATTTCATCTCCACCACCTCATCTCTCTTAATTTAACCATCAATCTTGCAACTCATTTCAGGTATATTATCTTCAAGTAAAACACAATCGGTAACCTCCGTCATCTGTCTCCTTAGCCAACTCTTGAACTACGTTAAGCTCTTCAAGTTTGAGGCAAAACGTGCAGACAAATGTATAAACAATTTCCACAATTTCTTGTGCATATCTGCTTTCTTTGCCTATCAAAATTTCTTTCGTACTATGGGTTGATCTTTCGCCGGCCACCATCAACGGCGCGAAAAGGCCACTCTGAATTCTAGTCAACAAATTCACCAGATAATAGTCGCCACTACTTTGTTGTATAAGTTCCTCATAACTGTCTACAAGAAAGGGGAAAAAAGAAGAAGAAGATGAAAGATTACTTCAGTCTCACATCTGATTTTTTTCCCGAGGAATTCTCATTCCAGTCTAATTTTTGTCTGTTACTCTGTCTTTGATGACCTTGACACGTTTCCTCGATTCAAACAGAGCTCGACAGAATCTACCAAGAAACAAGAACCCTAGCCAACCTTACCTATCCGCATTCATCCGATTCCGTCCCATTACTGTCCCAATTTCTCACCCAAACACAATTCGATTCTACACTACCCAGTATCCTGACAACGCAGATAAGAATCAAATTATAACAGCAAGAAACACTCACCCAGGCTGCCTCCGCATCTTGAAGTTCTCGCTGGTGAAGCCAATCCCTATCTGACCCTTCGCCCCAGCGTCCTTCACGTCAATCTCGAAATAGTAAGCGAGCCGCCGCACCGGGGCAGGCCTGTTGGCCTGCACGACGCCCACGTCGTGGCCGTGGAGGTTCACGCTCGTGTACTTCACGGACAGCTTGTCGGTCGACACCACGAGGAAGCCGCCGGAGCTGTTGATGGTGTTGAGCTCCGTCGGGGACTCCTCGCCCTCGTCCGCGGCGCCGGGAGCCCCAGCGGAGCCGAGCCGCGCCAGCTCCAAGAAGTGCGAGCCGAGATCGCGTCGATCGGCGGCGCGACCGCCGACGCTGTTGCAGTTGACGTGCGAGCTCGTGCTGTTGCTGCTGCAACCGTTGTTGTTCATCGTTGTCGGGCCGGAGCTGTGAATCGAGACGGATTCAGTCGACGAGATGAAGCATTTGGCGGCGGCGGCGGATTGGTGCGGAGCGGGATTGGCGACGGGGGATGCGGTGGTATCCTTCTGGCGTCTGAGAGAAGAACCTCTCTCCGGTTACGTGCTGGTGTTTGCTTAGCTGATTTGATGAGCAAGAAAGATGAAGGAGGGGTGAAAATGAAAAAAGTTGAATTACAAACTTCCCCCGAGTTTACGGGAAATTGCACTTGCATCTACTTTTTTTTTTTTTTTTTCTGTTTAACTTTCCCCGTCCTCGAACTCACTTATAAAGTCCTTTCGCTATTAAGGGTATCAAATAAACCTTGTTTCAAATAAAAATTTGAATTATCCTCATTTTCTCAAATAAAGGCACGATAAATATTTTTTTAAATAAAAGCCTGAAGTGATCATGTCGTTCTCAAAAAAAGGTCTGGCCTCACCGGTTAGTCAATAGCATTTTCGTCATTTACTTTTTTTTAAATTTTTTTTCCTTCTTTTTATTTTTTTTCCTTTTCATCGGTGGTTGGTCTCGAGTAATGATCGACCAAAGGCGATACTCGAAGAGGGCAGGGGTGAGGCCGCCCTCAAAAGCCATAGGCGAGGGCTGACCTCACCTACTCGACCCTTACCGCCTCTCGCCAGATCTGGGTGAGGATCGCCTCGCTCACGCCCAGTGAGAACCTGAGCAAGGCAACCCTAGCTAGCGGTTGGCGAGGCTTTGCCCAGGACTCGATTTTGTGTTAAGGTTTTTTTTAAATATTTTATCTCTCTCATGTGGCATTAAGGTTCACTAAAGCACTAAAATGAATCATTTTGATCTAAATCCTAATTTTTACATAAAATCTTAAAAGGGTTAACACCACGAAAAACCCTAAACTGGTACACTTGTGACACATTTACCCCAAATTATTTTTTTGATCATAAAAAACCCCAAACTGGTACATCTGTGATAATTTTACCTTGAACTATTTTTTTGACCACCAAAAACCCCAAACCGGTACACCTGTGACAATTTTACCCTGAGCTTACCACAAAAAATCCAAAACTGGTACTAATGTGATAATTTTACCCTGAATTAAAATTTTAATATTATTTTTTATTTTTTCCGAATTTTTATTTATTTTTTATTCTTTTCTTTTCTTTTTTTTTCATCTTCAAACCTTGGCCGGTCGGTCAGGCGTCCGGCTGGCAAATGAGCGGAGCCGTGAGGGCCGCCCTCGCCGTCGTCGGTATCGGGCGAGGGTGCCCTCGCCGGATCCGGGCGAGGCGGCCCTCGCCGGCGTTAGGCGGCCCTCGCCCTCGCCGCGTCAGGCGGCCCTCGCCCTCGCCGGATCTGGCGAGGGCGACCCTCGCCTGCGTCGGGCGAGGGCCGCCCTCGCCTGAGTCGGGCGAGGGTCGCCCTTGTCCTGGGCAAGTGAGGACGGCCCTTGGCCGACGCAGGCGAGGGTCGCCCTCGCCAGATCCGGCGTCGGGCGAGGGCGGCCCTCGCCGGCTTCCGCCTCTGGCCGATCGCTGGACCGGCGACCGGCCAGAGGTTGAAGGTGAAGGAAAAAAAAAAGAAAAGAAAAGAAAAAAGGAAAAATTCAAAAAAATTCAAAAAATAAAAAAATATTAAAAATTAGTTCGGGGTAAAATTGTCACATGTGTACCAGTTTAGGGTTTTTTGTGGTATGTTTAGGGTAAAATTGTCACAGGTGTACCAGTTTGGGGTTTTTTTATGGTTAAAAAAATAGTTTTGGGTAAATGTGTCACAAGTGTACCAGTTTAGGGTTTTTCGTAGTATTAACCCAATCTTAAAATAAATTAGGTGAAAAAATTCCAATTTTTTCCATAAAAATTTCTCAAAATAAACAAAAGATATGAAACATAAATCGTGGACTGACTAAGCCCTCTCGGGAGCTTGCTTAAGAATAAGAAAGAGGAATCTCATGTAAATACCATGGAATAAGGTATGATCTGGGAGAGGGCCGCGGCCCTCTCCGAGGCGCCGGCGACCCCGCTAGCCATGGTCGACGCCCCATCAATGATGGGGCGACGGCCACAAGCGTGAGGCTACTTTTTTAAAAAAAGAATTTAGATTTTTTTATTTTTAATCTAATATAATTAAAATTATCTTGAGACGAAAATGCTCCTCATCAGCCAAAATATTTAGCTGACCGGCGAGTCAGGCCTTTATTTGAAGTTGCCATGATCACTTGAAGTCATTATTTGAAACTACTATGATCACTTTAGGCTCTTATTTGAAATAATGTCCACTTCAAACCTTTATTTGAGAAAATGATGACACTCAGGTCTTTGTTTGAGAAAATCAGAACACTCTCAAAACTTTATATGTGAATTTACTTAAATATTGTGAAAATTCTAGAAGTTGCGAATTTCAAAAAGGACGATGTGTGTTAACCGTGAGATTTATATCAAATAAAAAGTAAAAAGTAAAAGTCAGTCTAGATCGGTACTTTTTCGAATGACCGGTAACTTTTCAGAAAAAAAGATCTTTCTAACTGTACCTATTGAGGTCTATCAAAATAGTCTCGCAAAAAAAAAAAACATACATATGCACATAGAAATATAACAAATTAACGCGTTGAGAGAGAGAAAATTTGAAGATGCAAATTAATTAACGAAAGGAATTTAAGTTGTTGTCAGACGAGAGTGATTCGAATTCAATTTTGAAAAAGAAAATATTTTTGCGACAAGTTGGTGTTTGGTAACTACTCGACTATGTTGTGATTTTTTTGATTTTGCTATGTCATGTAGTTATCGAATACATTAACAACAGGCATGGTTTTCATAGCATTCTTTCATGTGAAAGTCAGAGGTTGAACTATGATTACTTGATTAGGACTGAAGTGAACTAAAGTATTGACATTTGCATGCCATTCGAACAGCCATTGTTCTCTTCCTGAACCTTGAACTTCAAGAAACAATTGGAATGGTAAGTGAGACTTCCTTCGTTCAATAGCGTGTATTGAATGAACATCATTAAGTCAGACAACTCCAATTTAAACTTGAATTTGCCATCTCATCTCCCGTTCAAACATCGACGCTGAAGCCTGAAAAGTCAAATCTTTGTGCATAGATATGCAGAGTTCGAGATGGAAACAATATTGTATCATCTGCGATTAAGAATCATTGACTTTAAGACTTTCATTTTGGCTATAAAAGCACAACCAAAGTGAAGTGCTATCAGAAAACTCATCTGGAACATCATGGCTCGGAGCAATGCATGCTGTCTGGTGCTTCTCCTCGCATGTGGTGAGTCTTACTATTATTGTTAATCCGTCCCCCCCGATCTCCTTGTGCACACGCTGTTGGTAGTTTGTTTGTAAAACAAACAATGAGATGCCTTGTCCCACATCGAAAGGATGTGAGTGTGCACGTGGACGAGATTTGGCACTAATCAACGATCATTTTTATTTATTTATTAAATCTCGAATTTATTATTATAAAATAACTGTTTTATCATATTGAAACAGTGTGACTGTTCGCAATAGAGTGGCAGTTATTTTTTAATAATTTAATTTCGAATTTTTATTTTCTGCCTAATGGTAATTAGGCTCTCTCATAACCTTTGAAAGGTTGTGTCTGTTCAGACATAACTTCTTTACATTCGAAAGGTTGTATTTGTTCAACGTATAAATATTTCAACGTTTTTGTTCATTAAGAAGAACAACCATTTTTTCCATTTCTTCCAAGAGATATACAGCCATCTTTTCTAATTGTTTTCCTAGAGAAACCCTGGAGATATACCAAAATTGCTATTCGGTATTCTCAATCGAGACTTTGTTGTATCCTGGAGGAAATTTACCGGTGACCATTAGCAACTTCGTGGGGCAAATAATTCCTTACAGAAAGTGATATCACGCCTCAAAGTCTGACTTCGTTGTTCATCCCATTTGAAGTTGAAGTTTCTTTTCTTCTACAATTCGGAGGAGCATATTTTTCCAACAATTTTAAGGAATTATTTTTGCAACAATGGAGTCAGAGTCAATTAAACACTCTGTGCAATTCGGTGGCTCCTACACATTTTGCTGCTCGAAATAATCTTGATGACATATATTGCGACGGAGAAGAAGACGCGAGCGGCCAGGATGCACAAAAAGAAGAGAACGCGTGTGAGACTGAAGATGAGAGAGCTAATAGTCTAGAATGTTGAGTCAGGCAAATTCACAATGGATTTTGTCCTTCCTGTGACGTGGGTATGCATGAAGAAAGGGAAGATTTGTTAGTCGGGAGGACAGCCAAGTGCAGAAGCAATTGAAAAGGTTAGACTTGATAAACTTTAATGTTGAATTTCATAAATGTGAATTCTGCCAGAGATCGGGAATGCGGCGAAGATGAGCGTGGAGTTGGCCAAAGGGTTGCTGGACATCGTGAGGCAGACTCTCGGCAATGAGAACTCCTTCCTCGTCAAGTACTTCGGAAGGGACTCATACATCGTGGGATGGCCATAGGGGCCGTGCGCGAGGGCGTCCGTGAGATTGGAGCGTTTGAACGAGTACTTGCCCGAGTACAAGGACCCGACACATGTATGATCGGTCATGTTGTTCGTCTTCGTCGTCATTGTCGTAGGTTCGTAGGCAATTCTCTCTCTGGGTTCCTGATTTGAGCAAGGAAATTGTTTGATTGAGAAATTGGAGAATTCCAGTGACTCTCCTCTTAGCGATCTGAATTCGCATATATATATTTTTGTTTTGTTGTTAAGAATTCGGATGCACACAATCGAAAGATCTTGCTGAGATGGTGAGTTATCGTTATTGAGGGACAAACTTATAGTCATGGGAAGTGATGTGTTTGCATTTCTTCAACACTGTGGTGCCAAAAGTAGAGAGTGTAGTGTGTTCCAAAGGGCAATACTTCATGCAAGAGCCTTGGCTTTGATCCTTCCATAGTCGATCCCAGGGGTGTTAGCCAAAGGTAGCCACTTGAAGGTGCTCCACTCAGAGTTGTTCCAGTTGCATTTGTAACAAAATGGTACTGACAGTGGGGTCCTGAGAAGGATGATATGAGAGCTTCCTTAAATTTAATATCATGAAGAAACGAGGGCCATGATGATGATGTCCGGCTAATCTTGTGCCTAAGATCGCCCAGCTTGTGCTGTTGGTGGTCATATGGCTATAATTGATGTTAGCCTT